CTAATCTATCTTCCCGTACCCTTGGATCTCCTCTTCGCCGATCAACGCCGCCAGTTACTTCCAAGAGTTTCCTTGGTCATTTTCACTCTTTCTTCGCATCATCTCGCTATCGGTTACTTCCTCTTCACCATGACCAGCTTCTTTTCCACCGCTACAGTCTCCGTCAACACCACCATGAGCGAATGAGTTCCCAGTTGTCTGTTACAGTGTAGGCAAGATCGAGATTGACTCCACTGCTCTCCTCATCAGCTCTTGACTAGTTGGATGAGCCCAATTATAGGACATTTGGTAGTATTGTGTTTTAAACTATATATGTTTTCGTTTCATGTTTGATTTCGATACTTTAATATAGTTTGAGCATAATTTGTGATGAATATAGTTGTCTATTGTGATTAAATGTTTTCATAGAACTTATTAAATGATAGTTGTTGGTTTGAGATAATTAAATGATGAATATTACTTTTCATTACTTCGCATCGATTGTAATTGAGTTGTGTTCGGATTTAACGTCATTTCTACTGTTGTTGCGTTTATTGTGAAGTTGGTTGATTGGATTATGTGTGTTGACAAATTGTATTTGTTAATTGCGTACCAACTAGTGGTATTGTCTTGTAGTGTTTGTCGGCATTCAATGATAGTCTTTAACCAATCGAACTTAAGTGATTGGGTGAGACATGATAGACTATACCTAGAGTGCCGAAAAGCCATTTCATTGATTTACCTTGCTTTGTAGATTTAAGGGATTGTAGAGGGTGTAGGAGAATTGTATGAGTTGGTCTCGTGTCGAACCAAAATTGTAACGGCAACATTTTTTTATAAAGTCTTCATTAGTTTTAATTTCAAGCTTTTATTATTTGCATTTAGATTGTTAGGTTTAAGTAATCAATTTTCCAATTTCATTTTCGCTACTCACATTTGCATTAGGTTGTCAGTCTTCACTCTTGTGGATTCGACCCTGCTTACCGCTAACTATGGTATTTAGGATTAATTTTGTGACAATGACAACCAGTTTGATAAAATTTTGGTGTCATGCCAAGGATCGCCGGAAAGTGGCCCAACAATAGCTGGAAGACAAAACGTTGCTGGCAAACGCATGAATCACGATGGTGAGTGCAGGATGATGATGATCGGTGCAAGGGGAAATTGGAACGTCGTTGGAAATGGGAGAGGAAGAGTTGCCGACCGCGGACTATAGATTGGGGTGAGCGGCGCTGCTGGAATGCGACCCTTCACTTCCTTTTTATACAAAAGTGGAAAATTTTCCTTTGGTCCCTACACGATTAAAAAGTGACAAAATCAATCCCTACAAATATGACAGTTTACCCCCTAAATAGCATAAATGAGACAAAATCACCCCTAATCCATAAACCACAACCTAATATCAACTCATGCCCTTTCCAAAATCATTCCAATCATGTTAAATTCATAAGAAAACATTAGGCTGCGATTTTTCGTGAATAAATTTATAAATTTCTTAATTGCCTCAATATGATTTCATTTTAATCGCACATAGGGTCTTTTTATCATCAAAATATAGTCACTTTCATGACTCTAACAACAATGGAAGACGGCAATCGTGGGCGACGGCGATGGCAACAGCGAAGGTTAATCGAGATTTGTCAATTTTGGGTAGGGTTTCTAGTTCCAGTTTAGGGATTTTGTTGATTTGGGGGTAAAATACCCCAATAATTTGAAAACACTCTATGTAATCCTCTCTAACTCGAGCCAGATTCAGCTCATGAGCCTCCGAGCTGAGTCGAGCATTGTTTGAACTCAGCTTGAATCCCCTTCATGAATCAAGTCGAGTCGACCCGGTTGAGCTCTTGATAAGCTTTGGTCAAGCTGAATCGAGCTGGCTCAGAGCGGCTCGGTTCATGTCATAGTCCTATTCTTTTGCTATGAGTAGCTAAATCTTTAGTAATTGGGAGTGATTTCAAAACCCTAGACATGTTTTGTTATCATTAATATAATGGCTGCACTTTTCTATCTTCTAAATTTCTCTTGATTATGTGTTTATGCTCTGAGATGAATGCTTTAATAGATTTTCTTTAATTTGTTAAGTGGCTAATTAAATAGTTGGGATAGTCTATTATTACCAATTTGGATTGTCTAGTCCGTAATCGCTTTTCTAATCCAAATAATTAGTGGTAGGTTGTATGCTTGCATGCAATGGGAATAAACACTCAAGATAACTAAATCGAGCTTATGAGTTTAGCCTTGATTCAGTATGTCTTTCACTGCGTAATTCTTTTATTAAATTAAATCTAGAGAGTTTATGCTAGGTTGTTTAATAGGTAGGAAATTGGGTTAAGAGCTTGTTTAATCTAACAACACAGTAAAGAAAGATCGAATTTATCGAGCTTGCGATATTTTTGATCTAATGTAATCAAGAGTGTAGGAAGGTAAGATGTGTTTCTATTAGTTTACAATTCATGTTTAGTGGTGGCGAATGATCCTTCAATCAACTTTATCTCATATATCCTCTTACTTTTAGTTTAATTGTGTTTTTAGTTTTCACATTACAAATCAAAATTCCCCTTAGTTTAGTAAGTAATTAGTTAATTAGAAAAGACTTCTGCAGAAGAGACCCTACTTGCTCTATACTGTAAATGACAATGCTATAGATTTTAAGTGAGATAAAATTAGGTATTGCTTTTGCAACGCATCAGTTTTTGGTGTCGTTGCCATAGATTTTTCTTAAATTAACTTTTATTTACTTTTTGTTATTTTTAAATTTTAGTTTTAATTGTTTTGTTTGTTTTTGTTTTTATTCAGATCACGAGGAGATAACTAATTGTACTCTTAAAGAGATAGCTACACCAACTTGGGACCAGCAACCTATATGCATTTGGTATAATGAGGCGGGTGAAACTTTTGAATTAAAATCTAGAATGATTCATCTTCTACTTACTTTTCAGAGGTTTGGAAGGAGAGGATTGGAAGGAGAGGATCCAAATAATTATTAGTTTTATTGAGTTTCAGACTCTCATGCTATGTGGTAAGACTTGGTTAGTTAGTCTTAAGGCTTAGTAATGGTTTTTATGTGAGAATTTTAATAAACATTATTGCGATCTCAAAAAATTCTAGAACTCACTTGATAACTATTTAAGATGAAATCCTAAAATACACATTACTTAGGAAATTATTTAGGCTATCTTTAGATCGTTTGAGCCTTTCAAACTAACACTTTATTTAAATTATCTCTAGTTACCCCTTTAAGCCATTAATAAACACATTTAGCATTGAAAACATCTCCCCACCCGTTCTTTCTTACTTATGTAATTTTTTGGTTTTTAAGGAAATCTCTTAATTTATTGGGCCTTTTGATTGTTGATTGCGGGGTTGTGGGTTGTTATGTTTGGATGTTGGGCATTTTTTTGGGGTTGTTGAGCAGGCAAAAGGGAGTGTGGTGGGTTGCTGGGCATGAAGAAAGGATGGGTGACTTTGCTGGGCATGAAGAAAGGGTGGGTGACTTTGCTGGGCTTTTTTTATGGTGATGGCTATGGCATGCGGTTCAAGCTCGAGCACCTTGAAGCTTGGCTCGGTTCGGCTTGATATCAACCCTAATTGCCCCATTGAAGTGGTTTTGGTCCATCGGTCTCTGAAAAAAAAAAAAAAAAAAAGTTTTCAAGAAAACAAACCTCCAATTGGGCCTAATAGGCCTTGATGAAAACGTTGAATGGCTGACTTGAAGCTTTGTGGATCTAAGTCTTCAATTGATCTCATTAGGCTTTCTTAACAACAACAATAGAGGAAACAAAACAAGGATAGAAGTAATTTAGAGATATTCTTAAGAAGGAATTCCACATTCTTCAGGCGTGTTTTATGGGGAGATAAAACTTTTGCAAAAGCTGTAAATTTCAAAGGTTTTGATTGAAGAGAGTCATGAATTGAGCGTGTTGCAACGAATAGACAAGTTTGAAGATGCTGTGTTAAGTTACAACTTACAATTGTGAGTGGTTACGTTACTCGTGAGTGAAGTCGTCATGCTAAGTATTGTAGATTTGATCTTTCCTTCGTGGATTTAAGTTTTCACATAAAAGATTTTTCTGTCTTGTGGTTGATATTTTTTATTCTTTGATACGAAAGTTAATAACTTCATATTGTTAAAAGTTAGAATTAAGATGAATAGTTCATAAGTGAATCCTAGAAAAGATTAATGATATAACTTGGATTAATCAAGACTGAAGAAATTTATTAAGATTGACTTCGTTGTCAGCTAAAAATTGGGCAGGCAATGCTGCCCAAGCCATGATCCGATAAGTCGTGACCTAGTTAAGGCCTGCTTCGACTACGACACTGTGTTGGCCACGGTGGTTGGTCATTTTTTTTTTTTATAAGTTTTTTTAGTTTTGAATTGTGTTAGGGTTTGACTTGCGAGTTTTGAAATCTCTTAGGGTTGGATAGAGAATAAAATTGGAGGACGCTTTTTTATAAAAACAAAAGGATAAATGACACGAGTTTTTAGTAAAAAAATGTTCATTTATTAATTAAAAAAGTTGTAAAATAAAAGTGTTTTTTTTTTATTGATATATATTTATCTAATAAAGGTGTACATTTATTTATACAGATGAAATTTATGTCTTTTTTTCCTTAGTTTAATAGAAAAGTATTTTTCAATTCCAATTTATAATAGCCATAAAAAATTATATATATGTCTGATTTTTTTGAGGGCTTTATGTATTGGGTAATGTCTTTTTCCTGTTAAATTGAACGATGAAGCTTGGAAAATAGGTGAAACTTTGATGATTGTTCAAAACAAGGATAACACTTATATTGAGGCTAAACCTCGTCTGGGCATGTGTAATTCCGCCCGTGCGGAGGGCCGTTTTGTCATCATCATAAAAGAAATTAAAAAATTAAATGAAAAGGTCAAAACTCCCCGTTTCCCACGTTCTAAGAATACCTGATGGGATCGAGTCCGAACACGTTCCCTTTGAAATCCCCGATCAATCCAAAGTTGCGCTTACGTGTATTAACCACTAAGGTTGGGGTTGGGGCGTCGCATATGCGAAAGCTAAAGTTTATCATAACCAGACGAAACTCTAACCCGAACCGACCAAATGCAACAATTCCTCTTTGTTTATTCAATTGCCCAATCCCTAATCATCCTTCTTCAAACCTAATTTACTCATTGATTGATTGATTCCTTAGTAATTTCAACATTTCTGTTGTTCGGTTGAGTTTTATTATTTTATTTTATATCTAATAAGAAGAAGAAATTGGGATCGCTGCATGAAAGAGAAGAAGGGGGGAACTGAGTAGAGATAGGAGAGGAGAAATTACAGAGCAGACGGAAGCTAAAACATGTCTGCAATTCTGTGCGGAAAGAGATCCTTCTTTGAAGATATAGCTGCATCTCCTCCTGTTTCTAAAAGAATTCGTTGTTCTTCTTCTTCTCCTGTGCGCTTCTCCTCTTTTTCTTCCAATCTCTCTCCTCCTGCTCCTTCTTCCCATATCTTCGATCAGCTCGCTGCTATTTTCCCTCACATGGACAAGCAGGTTAGCTTTATATATATCTTAGTAATTCAATCAATGAATTTATTGACTGATTGATTGATTAATAATTGTTTTTGTTTGGAATTTGTCATTTTTTTTAGCTTCTTGAGAAAGCGCTTGAAGAATGTGGAGATGATTTGAATTCGGCTATTAGAAGTTTGAACGAGCTTCGTTTGGGATCTGCTGATCGGAACGAGGCCTCAGAAGCCAACTTTCAGCTTCATCCGCTAGGTAAGGTTTTCAATAAACTAACTGCAGCCAATTTACTATTCTGGCTTTACAAAGATTCTTTTCTTTATGAAAGTGTGGCAGATGTTGCTTTTGTCCTTGTTTATGAGAGCCAAATTTTGTGATTGTTCTCTTGTTTATCCAGATAATTTATCTCCCTTGTTTATTTGAGTTGCTCCATTAATTGTGGTTTTCCTGTCCAAGATGCGTATATGACATTGACATTATAACATTTCATGATTGTGACCTTAGAACTGCTCATATGCTTGTTGATTCGTTCTACTTCACACATCGGTTTAATGTTGTTAATAAATCAATCGCAGGCCATTGACTCATCAGTTTTGTTTTCATCTCGTGAATCATCTTTCTCTATTGTTTTTCTATGTATAATAAGTATTTTTCCTGTATGGTTCTCACATTTGACTTTTTCAATTAGAAATTCTCTTCTTAGACAGTTTCTGACTTTAATTTATCGACTTGTCTGGCATTAATACGTCTGGTTTAAAAAAATTGGTAGTGATCAGTTGTAGCTTTTCTTTTAATGTATGTCATGAAATTTAAATGTTATGGGTATGTCTTCTGGTCCTATTCTGAAAGATTAGGGTTTATGCTTTGTTTTCTAATCACTTAGGCAGCCAGAGCTTTAGGCCCAAACCAAATTTCTGAAGCTCAAAACTTAGCTAATTTCAAGCGGTCATGGGTTTATAATGTACCGATGTTTATTTTTTTAATTTGTAAAGGTGCTACTCTTGCCTGTAGGCTTCGTTACTGATTGTTGGTTTCCTAAGCATTTCCTGCAAGGTATGCTAAGTTACTTTGTTGAGTGTCAGGTGAATAACTTTCTTCTTCAAGTTCATCTGTGAATGTCTGCATTTCTTTACTTGCTTTTTATATTTTGTTTTCAACAAATTTCAGTTACTCTTGATCACCACAAGTATTTTCTTGTTGTTTCCCTTAGCTTCTAAAATATTTTCTCACATCAGGCCTTTTTTTCTGTGTTTTGAGCTCCTCTGTAGAAGGGAGTTCATTTATGCCCAGTCTTACTACTTCAACGATAGTGCTGACACCTCGATGTCATTTGTGACTGGCTTGTCAGTTTCTATTTGCATCGTTGTTCACCAACACCGCTGAAAATACCTTCAAGTCTTCAACACTGCTGATTTATAAATGTACTCTTATTGGGTCTTTACCTGATTGGATTTGTTTGCACTTTGTTAGGATCCCACATTGAAAGGGAAAAGGGTGGGCATGTGGGTTATAAAGGTTTGGGCATCCTCCCTTGGCAAGCCGGTTTTCCAAGGAGAGTTCTACCCAAGCCCGTGAAAGACCCATGGCCCAACCCAAATTGTTGAGTTATTGGAGTGGGTTCCTATCACACTTCTCTTTCTTTTGTACTTTTAAATCTCAAATCTAGCAACATCTTCTTCTCAGATCTCATTAATATTTGCCTAGATGATCCCTTCATAGTTTTTCGCCATTTCATGCCGCAGCTTATTTTTCCTTATATTCTTTGAGCTGTTCCATTATTTGTGATATATGTTCTTCTTGATATGTTCCTTAGACATCCATACATATACTGGCACATCTTGGTTCTCTGAGGTGAGAAACTAAGGTGAGGTTGTTATGACTGAGAATAATATGTCATTTAAGCCGTCTGCTTTGTCTTGTATCAGGGCTTTTTTCCAAGCTTTGAGCTTTGATTTCATAAAGTTTGTTCCTTATTAGATGAAATTTAAGCAATCTTCAGTCATAACCAGTCATTCCTAGACTTGGTTAGTTATCTTTTTAATAGAAACTGAATTACTTTTCATAACCTGCAAATGTAGGAATAAGCTTTCAGCTTTGAGAATTGTTTATGCCTACTTTATTTGTTAACATGTTTGGAAAACTAAATTTTTACATATCCCACCAAAATTCTTAATTGGTAATTGAATACCTTGACCTTAATGATTGAAAGTGATTTCCAAACTTGCTGTCAAGAGAAATTTATGAGGCGGAATAACTTCTGGGACAAAGGGTTGCCATAATGCTCCAAGGCAACTCTTATTGGGCGGGAAGAAAGTCAAGGTGCTGTACAGAGATTTTTAGGCACCAAGAAACTGAAATTGACTGTTGTACAGTTGTACAGAAGGGCTTATGTTAGTTGATTGCTTAGAAGTACTTCTTCCACCAGTAAACCTAACCACCCACAAAGTGGCGCCCCACCAACTAAAGAAAACAAAATTATCAAATTATTGAACAACCGAGAACAATTCACTTACGATACTTGGTTGACATTGATAAAAAAACATTTAACGAATTATGAGTTCAATACATCATATTTAGCCGAAAGACGGATATTCCTTGCTCATTGACGATCACTTACTTACAAGCTTCGTGTGCGGCTAATAATTTTCATTTCCCATTCATGGAAAACCCTTTTTGCTTTGCCTAGCCCTATCCCCTTCTACGGATATTTTAGTCATAGGTTGGTCGGAAGGTCACACTGACCTGCAGAGTACAGTGCCTTTTAAATACTGTGCAAAAAAGTATGATTACCCAGACTCTTGGACTATGATTTTATTATCATTCAGTGCAACAGTATAACAATAATTAATGCTAGGATTTAATAGATGTAATGCCGTTCCAGATGTTGATCCTTGTGATGTTAAATTTAATTGCATTGGAAGTTCTCAACAGGAAGAGCAATTTTCTCTTGCAGGCTCAGCAACAGTTAATGGAGAGGTTCCCCCTACTGAGTATCCATCTGCTTCAAAGGTCATTCAACTGGATGGTGTGGAATGGGTTGAGCATTTTGTTAGAGAAATGATGAGTGCTTCCAACATTGATGATGCCAGAGCCCGTGCTTCTAGAGCATTAGAGGTTTTGGAGAAGTCCATCTGTGCACGTGCTAGTGCTGAGGCTGCCCAAAGCTTTCACGAGGTTGGTTACTGTCGAAGGCCATTCTATATTACCTGTTTTTGTTGGTTTATAGTTGAAATTGGTGCCAGAGGGGGTTTGGCTGTGATAAATGACTTATTAAGGTTTTATTGATGTTGCTTGCCTTGTTATAGGAAAATAAGATACTAAAGGAACAAGTGGAAGCACTTATTCAGGAAAATATTGTTCTCAAGAGAGCTGTGGCTATTCAGCATGAACGTCAGAAGGAGTATGAAGATCGGAGCCAGGAGTTGCAGCACCTAAAGCAGTTAGTGTCCCAGTACCAGGAGCAGTTGAGAACACTAGAGGTCAGGCTCACAGACACATACTACCACAGTTATATTGAATGTATCATTGAACCTTCTCATTAAATGGTTGAAAAACATATCTCATGCTTCTTTTCATGCCTATGGGAGTCTAACTTGTAACTTTTGTTTGATTGTATGATGCCCTACCAGGTGAACAACTATGCATTGACAATGCACCTGAAGCAAGCGGAGCAGAGCAACTCTATCCCAGGGCGTTTCCACCCGGATGTTTTCTAATAATTGTTTAAAATATTGAGTTGGCTCTGTGGATAGAATATAAAAAAAATGCACCTTTTGAGCACAACAGGAAAGTGGTAGCAGTGTGATATGCAGGGTGTTGAATTTTGAATCCTGTTGTCATTTAGTGCATTTTTCATAAAGGGATTACATGTCCTAAGAGATGGATTTATCAAAAGCCTATCAAGAAGATTGTTAAGTTCTTGTTTTTGTTGTTGCTGTAATTGATTTGAAGTGGATACGATATTCATAGACTTTCTATTAGTAGTTATCTGTAGCACTGATATGATACAAAAGCATTGGTGGTGGATGACTAATTGAAGAAGTAAAAATTATAAATATATAATAAGCTCTTGGACAGCATGTTATCACTAAATTAGTGAAAGTGAATCTTGGTGGCATGATTTCGCATTATCTGTAGATAACATAGAAATTGCGATGTGTCCGAAACGTATCTAAAATGTTTATGATAAAATAAAGTAGTAAATGATGGGTCAATTAGTGTTTGGGATATGAAGATTGAATTGGAAGTTGGAACCCGTTGTTTGAAGTTAAAAACAAGAAACAAAATGAGAGGATTCCAGCTTTAAGTCTTCTACCTCCAGTATTGGGAATTGATTATGTTACTGCTTGGGTTGAGGTCCCATCGGTCAGCGTTTGCTACTTCTCTGGTGGGTTCCACGCCTTGTTTGCACAATCAGCAAAAGAAAAACCCTATCATTGGTCTGTGTGGCTGGCAATTTTAGATTTCCTTGCAACACAGGCAAGGTTTTCTTTCAGGTTGCTTTCATCATACACCTTTCTCTGCCTTGGAATACTTTTGGACAGCATAATTAACTCCCCCTGCTTTGCAGAATATTGAATTCCTTTGGAAATTGAAGAAAAGCTGATTTTACTGGGACACCACAACTAATTTGATTCCCCCTTTCTGCAAAATGTTTAAGTGTGGATTGATAACAGAAGATACAATTACCCTTACATATTTGTGGTCTTACTAGCAAACTAATTGAGACTGATATATTACTAACAAATGTGTACCTTAAAAGCAAGGTCTTTACATGGCATACATCAAAGTTCTAATTATATGTACCTACTGGCATCAATATCAAGCTTGAAGATCAAAAATCTATCCGCTTGATTAAAAATATTACACAATCCTATGCTCCTGCATTCATCCATGGTTGAACTCCAGGAAAAACGAAAGAAAAATTTATAAAATATATCAAACATTTTGAAACCCTGAGCCTTTACATATGTACTGCACGATACATGTGAGGTTGAAGCCAAACATTTTTAAGAAGAAGGTTAAAAACACTTTTATTGTTGTATCTGAATTTTGTTTCTCCTCTTTCATGTAACAGAAACTCCAAATTACCTCCGGCTAGTAAGGTTGGACTTAGACTCCATTGAGAATCAGAAGGCTGCAACAAGCTTTCCTCCAGGCTTCATCATCCTCCGGAACTCATCGAAATTAACCATACCATCTCCATCACTATCAACCCTCCTGATCATCTCTTTGCAATTCTCAATCTTCTTCCCTTCTTTTAAACCTAACGAAGACAAAACAAAACCCAACTCCTCCACTGAAATTAACCCATCTTTATCTTTATCAAACACATCAAAAGCCTCCTTTAAATCCTCCTCTTGATCAAAAACTTCTTCGATCTTCCCTGAAGCTCCATGATCTTGATGCCCAATCATAGCCTCGTACAACATGCAGAACTCATCAAAGTCAATCAACCCATCTCCATTAGCATCAACTTTCACTACCATTTCTTCTACTTCCTTCTCTGTAACCAAGATACTCAGATTCTTCAACGACTCTCGAAGCTCTTGCTTTGTTATAAACTCATCACCGTTCTTGTCAAAGGTGGCAAATACCCTTTTCAGCTCAACTTTCTTATATCCACTACTACTCTTCCTTTCTTTGGGAGATTCCGAAACTTGTCGAGCACTAGCAGCGGCAACAGTGGTGTTTGTTTTTGGACAAGTTTTAGTGAAGAAAGAGTTGATCCATGCATGGACCTTGTTGGTTGGAAAACGAAAGAAAATATGAAAAAGGCTAGCAATAAAAAGAAGAAGAAAAAACAAAACGGAAATGATCTCCATATCTTCTTGTAAGATGAACAGAAGATAACGAAGAGAAGATAAGTGTTAGGTGAGGGTTTCAATTTGTTGAGTAAAAAGAGGTGGTGTTGATGTTTCAATGTAGAAGATACGCGGTGCTGTTGATCCCACAAACCGCGTGAACAGTAAAAATCTGGAAAAGAAGGGTGCCACATCCCACATGAAGGTGTCTTGACATAAAGTATTTATATAATTTAAAATATTTATATGGTTGGAAGTACATGTTTTAGGTGAAGATTAATGAATTGAGTTAGTGATGGCGAAGATAATTACCTCCTATCTAATTGTAATTACACTAACTTCAAGGTAAATAAGTCAAAATAACTAATTAATGAGCTAGGTATATATATATATATATATATTTTACTGGGATGTTCGGATCGTGTGTACATTAACTAATCCTAACGTTGACAATCGAGTAAACTTTCTAGTAATCATCCCTATTAATAATCGAGGTAAATCAAATTTAAAATATTTTGAGTAAAGCCGTAAAAATCTCTATTCAATCACTTGAACACTGAAGGGTGATTTATATATATAGTTTTTCATACTACCAAAAACTTAGTGACATATGTGTAACTAAGTAAAAACTTATTTATATGTGCTTTGTATCTGGAAGTAGTTTTTATGACTTTATTGTGTGGTGTGGACTTGAGTGAGAAGGAAATGTAAGGCATGGGAGCTAAGTATCCAAAAATCCATTGAGATTAAAAGTTATACAGTGTAGTGGACTATCGAATTTTCCTTTGAAAAGCGATAGCACTTTGTTTTCTTCTTATCTTTCCTTTCTTAGATGGGAATCTCCATTAATGCAATATACAATCACGATTTATAATAGGGGAAAAATTAAATATCACCCTAGTTTTATTCAAAACCATCACCTGCATGAAACTTGTTAACATTTTAATTAAACTACCCGTAACAGAGTCCGAAAATGCATCATCGATACCCCCAAATACTAAATCCATTCAACTTCTTAAGTATTTGAGGGGCAAGACTATCATTTAACGCTTGGACGTAAACAAAACCCACCATAATTATGTCAAATTCTTAACTATCACTTTCTCTTAATTTANTTATATATATAGTTTTTCATACTACCAAAAACTTAGTGACATATGTGTACCTAAGTAAAAACTTATTTATATGTGCTTTGTATCTGGAAGTAGTTTTTATGACTTTATTGTGTGGTGTGGACTTGAGTGAGAAGGACATGTAAGGCATGGGAGCTGCGTATCCAAACATCCATTGAGATTAAAAGTTATACGGTGTAGTGGACTATCGAATTTTCCTTAGAAAAGCGATAGCACTTTGTTTTCTTCTTATCTTTCCTTTCTTAGATGGGAATCTCCAGTAATGCAATATACAATCACGATTTATGATAGGGAAAAAATTAAATATCACCCTAGTTTTATTCAAAACCATCACCTGCATGAAACTTGTTAACATTTTAATTAAACTACCCGTAACAGAGTCCGAAAATGCATCATCGATACCCCCAAATACTAAATCCATTCAACTTCTATAAGTATTTGAGGGGCAAGACTATCATTTAACACTTTGACGTAAACAAAACCCACCATAATTATGTCAAATTCTTAACTATCACTTTCTCTTAATCTAAGCCCACAAAACTTAAATCGAACCCATAAATTTCATTTCTCTCACAATTACCCCTATCCCCAGCTTCTCCTCCACAATAGCCCATCTCCTCCATCAACACGAGCACAAACACCCAACTCCTCCAACAAGAAATGCACACACATCCACCAAAACAGTTAATAAATATATTAATAATAAAAAAAATGTAAAAGCAAGGTCGAAAGTAACGACCTTGCATGACAACGATTATAACAGCCTCACTTGAGGTCAAGGTGGTGACATAAAGCAAGGTCGTCACAACCCCGCAAGGTGGAGGTATGAAGCAAGATCATAACAGCCTCCAAGGCGACCAAAAGCAATGTTCTGAAAACCGTATTGGGCCTTGACTCGGTCAAGGTCCCGATTCATGGTTTGACCGGTCTAACCGGTTAAACCACCAGTTTTTCGGTGGTCCAAAAAATTTAAATTTTTATAAACACACCCCTAAAAACTACTTTGCAGTCCTTAGAGGTTTAAAATATAGCAAATATACCCTTGTGACCTGTTTGGGTTTTGACGTTTCTGGCCAAATTCCGGGTGATTCTGGCTGCCAAAATTCAATCTGACACCACCACCTGAATCACTGTCCTCCACTCTACAAAATCCCTCTAACCCTAGAACTTGGTAGCCCTCCATTTGCTGGTCGTGACTCGCGAACACCAACATGATTGGGTTGATTTTTTTGACCAAATTCTAGTTTATTCTGGCCTCCAAAATTCAATCAAACACCACCACCTAAACCACCGGTCTCCACTCTACAAAACCCCTCTAACCCCGACACTTGGTAGCCCCCCGTTCGCAGTCGTGACTCCCATATTGGGTTGAATTTTTCGGTCAAATTCTGGCTTATTCTGGTATCGAAAATTCAATCTAACACTACCCCTTGAATCACCGGCCTCCACTTTACAAAAGCTCTCTAACTCCGGCACTTCACCGACGATCAAACTAAGGATTTGAATGAATAGTGAAATTGAAATCTTGGATCAGAAAAAAGACCAGTCGGACTGGTCAGGTTTGGTTTTCAAAACATTGATCAAAAGTGAGGTCCTTACAGCCTTAGGGATGGCCTCAAGCAAGGTTGTTGCTACCTCGAGCCTCAACCTAACAAAACTACCACTGCCACCTCTTAAAATGGGGAAAGTGGAGGTTAGGGGTGGATGTAGGTATGCTTGTGGGGAGGATGGGTTTGGGTCACAATTAGGGTTTTTGGTTAATTTCCATTAGGAATTTAAGTGTTTTGGTAGTTTTCGTTATTAAAAATGGGTTTATATTGTTTTTCAACTTTAGTTTAAGGGTAATATAGTCATTTCTCATACAAACTCTAACAAAAGTTGGATGGAGTTAGCATTTGCAACTGCTAATGATGAATTTTTTTAATAGTGCTAGGGGTAGCTATGTTATTAAAGAAAATTGTAGAAACCTTAAGATCACATAGCTTACTCACCTCATAGATTGTAGAGAAAATATGCAAGGATTTGTTGAATCAAGTAGTGAAATAAAACAAAACAAAACAAAAAATTCGACAAAAACCCTAAATCCAAGATCATAGATTGATACATATGATTCAATTATAATTAAAATAAAGGATTATTGTATAACTTCTTTTGATGGCTCTTTCAATTAACTCTGATTTGATTTCGCAACTCGATTCAAGTGTAAAATTGCACACATGATATCCACACAAAAGCAAGAACACTGCTAGATTAAAATATTTTTGCTTCAAGGAATCAAATTGGGGCTCAAATTTTGAGGGAGAATTTTTCAATTCCCTTCACAAGAATCGGCTAGGGCTAAAAAAAACTCATTAACCCTTATTTTTAATTATGCTTATATAGCATAATTAAAACCCTATTCCACCTTAGAATTAGAATAACCCTATTCCTAGGTAGAATAGTATAATATATCAATTTTATTATTATCATTAATATTAATATTAATTCTAATAAATACAATTATAATTTCGCTAAATTAATTCTAATGTCAAAATTGGACACAGGCTACAACCTCAACAAATTTAATTGCACAATAAAATTACCAAAATACCCATCCATCTAAAAAGATGAAAATGCACCCCAAAATATTATTTACCTTAAATTGTCTTCTTAGTGTGTGACCCGTAGGCTCCCTATCATGTTGATAATGGATGGAATCGTAAGTAAGCATCAACTAATTAGCTCTCCATACACAAACAAAGATTGACCTCTAAGAAGGCATCATGGTTACCCAACAGATAGAGATTTAATGAAATACTACATGTCAACGGTATGGTTACCATGCAATCCAATCCCTTCATCAACTGTTATATCATCAAGGTTGAAGTATAGAAATAGTGTCAACTTTAAATATATTTCCTTGATATGTTGGCATTCGGTTATTCGGCTAACAACCAAACAAAATTGGATTTGAGCAAAAGCTCAATTCCACTATGGTCACATATTTACAATTGTTGCCATTTACCGAATAGCTCACTGAGATAACTACTCATGTACCCAGGAGTGACGGATCATTTGTCAATCCACCATAGCCATAGTATACTTCTCAATGTAGTCAACCACCACCATATTGATAATCTTGAAAAGGACTACGTTAGACTAACGTCAAACTGCACCAATATTTACACAAGGCGCTCTGGTGATCTCAAGTCTAAGGATCACATGCACCAACATCCATTAGGATATATTCCTTAGACACTAGGGTTACCATCCATATGGAATCTTTTAGATGGTCAATCTAGTGAAATTGCATACAACAAGCAACAACGCTATGATAACCTTACCGTACTATCGTGCCCTTGGTTAAAATAATACTGAGGTTACAGATGTTTCTAGAATGGACACCACATGTGATCAAAGGGTCCTCACAATCAAGTTTTAAAACACTTGATTTCCTCATCATGGTTCTACCATCCTAAGGACATATATCAATGCATAAAATAATATGAATGACATGATATAGTAAAATGTGTCTTTATTGATAATTAACATGATATTACAATGAGTCAAATATACAAATAGGATTATATCTAGGGCACCTACATTAACAAAATATATAAAAGAAAATAAAAATCTAAAACCCTTGACTCGATTGTACCCAATTTTTCTCACACATTTTTCTTTCCTACAAAGAAGAAAACCATTTCAAACTCTTCTTGAAACCTAAAAGTTATGACATGATTTTTCTTTTGACCTAATAGGAAAAGAAATTTCTTTGTTTCTACTTTAGATTATAAAAAGTTATTAGGATATTATCATGTAGACCGTGCTCCTCAACACATTATTGGCCAAAACAATAATCATTAGCATGTTAATATGCAAACTATGCTTCTTAACAAGTGCTTCAAGATTTGTAAAACCCTATATGGCAACTATTCCTAGAGGGGGGTGAATAGGAATAATTAAACTTAATTGCAAAATTAAAATTTAGTACATAATGTAAGAAAAATGTAAACAACATAAGTGCAGGAAAAGTAAAAGAGTAGGGAAGAGAGATG